GGGGGGGGGGGAGAGAAAAAATGGCTGGTCCAATGGGAATCTGGGCCAACTATATTTGTACCGGTCGGATGCACGGCTGAACATTACACGTCCGGGATGTTCGTCCCGGATCAGGGAATGAGAATCCTCCTTAGGCAGCGCATCGCTAAAATGTAACAGCGTGAACTTTTCATATCTTCGCCGCCTTCCCGAACGAAACGTTTCCACCCGCGAGGTGGAATCCTCTCTCTTCGCTCGCATTTGCATCGCGAAAGTTTCGCGAAAGTGAGCTCCGAGTCGACGTTGTACGATTCGTCGTGCGGTTTCTCCGTCACGTTGGCGACGTCGAAGGGAACAGAAACTCAACGAAATCTTAACGATGAACTCTCTGCTGAAATTTTGCAGGAACTGTGCCACTATCAGGGCAGCGTTCGCGACGTTCCCGGATCTTGGGTGGCGTTGTCTACGTGCAGAGGGTTGCGCGGCGTCGTTTACGACGGCGAGAACCTTCATCACATCCACCCGGACGAAGGGGAATCCTTGGACTCGGAGCATTACGTCTACAGGCACAGCGATCTTGTTGCGAATCACACATGCGGTAACTGTCGATCGTGCTGCCTTTTCCTTTGAAGAGAAGAAACTCTGTTCACAACGCCCATTCGTCGCGACCAAATTTTAATTAATGCTCGAGTAATTTGAACTTTCGCTGGTGTGCAAACGAGCTCCTCGCTTTGGTGAACTCCAATGGTATTGAATTGGTTCGTTCTCCCGGTAGATTCGGATAAGCAAGATTCTTTCGTTTGAATGGAATTTTCCTTTTACACGATGGAGTGAATGAAATCACAACCTCTACATGAGTTGAATTAAACTGATCAATTTACTTGATAATTTGATAATTGAATTACAACGTCAATTCTTATCACATGAACGATTTAGATTAAAAGAATAATTTTCCGCCCCGACAAGTTCGTATAAACAGAGGAGTTCAATGTTCAAACAGCGTTCAACTTGCGCGACGTACCTACTTGAGCCCATCACTAATCAGTCACAAGATCCTGGAAGATTTTCGAGATTATCTCGAATATCATCCGCATCTATCCGTGTCTTTCCATTCTTGTTCTTCCTGGCTGTAGATGATAGGAAGTCCCATGGATGATGGGGCCGATGTTCGATCCTAGAACCGCGTTACCCTGGTTCGTTGCAGCGCACGCGCTCCTTTCCTGGCTTGGAAGAACTGTCTCGCTGAGAGACTGGTCTTTCCTTAACAGCCCTAACGAATGTGGGAGCAAGATTCTACCGCCTCGCTCCACTCTTTGTCCTGAACTTTACCGACGAGAATCCAGCCGAGACGATGATCTTGGTTTTTTGTTCGATACAGGTTACGAAGGAACGCCGCACCATGTTCTCGGCCACGAACACCGCGGCATCGTCAACAGAGCCACGAGGGTAAGATGCCTGCACCGTTTAAAACGTATTTCTATCGCTTCTATCGAAAGACACCAAGAAACGCACAGGATGTAGCGTAACTACGTGGCACAACCGAGTGGGAGATGATTCTACCTAAAGAAAAAAAAAAAAGAAACAAATGAATGAAAAAGAAGGTTTCGAGAAGATCGAGTGATTTGTAGATTTATCCAGTATAATTGAATTTAATTGATTCCAAACGTGAAAAGGAAAAAATAATTGACAGAAGGTTATTCTACGTGCGAAGATGAGTGAAAAATGTAGAATAGAATTTTTGTGTAAAATGTTTCGTTTTCGAGAGAATCGAGTTTGAGGATTTTATCAAGTACACGTGTGCCAGAGCAATTTCCACTTTTTCACTTAATTTTCCTGATCATGAACATCCACATGTAAATTCAAGTATAATTGATAAATTTTCAAATTCGATTGCCGCGGAAACAAAGGCTGTGCAAATGAAAAAATTTTATTCTTTATTCTCAACTCTATTCGTTTCTTCATCCCTTGCTTGGTTGTACCACCAGTTAGGGGATCTCAACTTGATGCACCAAGGGTTATTTATACCCTCTGAAAAAATAAATCTTTCGAGTTGAAGGTATCAGGAATTACAAGTAAAAACTCACGTGTCTAAAGAAAGAAGACTCGTGTGGAGTGCTTCATCATAGGATAAACAGATGTTGAGATAGGATTGATACGTAAA